GGGTCGTTCTGAAAGTGTAATACAATCTTTGGTACACAGGCACCAACTCATGTAAGAAATAATTTCAAGAGTAAATAAGCCAAAATGTGACACTTAAGGAAACTTCCCATTTAGGTGTATCTACAGCTTGAAAATATTTGTCAGCAAATCTAAGTTCTGTAAGAACAATGGCAAATGCAAAGAAACTATCTAATACAGTCAAGTAACAGTTGTCACATTAATTTAAAATTACCCTTTATTTTTCACAAGTTTTTCCAACATGTTGTGCATTTTGGCATGGTAGACTTTGAGACAGTTAGCTTCAAGTTTCTTTAAATTACAAACAGTAGATACAGTAGGAATATTTCAAACCAATTTCTTGAAAATAAATGTCAAGTTAAGACCCTTAGCTTTAAAAGAGACTGTCACCATTTCATTTTCCTGATACAAAATTCAAGTAATTTTAAGAGTAGAAAATTGTCTTTATAAAACATCCTATTATTAAAATTTACCAGCGTTCTGAAAATAAACATCAATTTCCAGTATCAGTTGGGTGCAACTACACATTTAGAAAAATAACTCACTTTAAATGAAGGTCACTTGCTGAAAAGTCAATTTTTCAAAAGGATGAGTTCTCAAAACAAATGATAAAAATTTTTTTCCTTAGATAAATGATCTAATCCTTGTTCCATCACCACAATTAATTCATTTTTTCTTCTAAAGGTGTACATTTCAGTCTTGAAAAATTAAGGAAACATACTACTGAGATGTTTTCCCTTCATCATACACCAACACGGAATTATTGCTTATCTGTAACAACTGTAAACAATATTCACTTGATTTTGCTTTTATGCTGTGATTTTTCCTTGGTTGATACCAAATATACAGACCACACAAACTTCAGCTGTGTCACTTTACTGAACAAAACCACAATCAATTTGTTCAATTATTTTGCACCTAGTGTTGTTCAGTTCAGCTTTTTTTCCAACAAAGAAATGGATTCACTATGCTTTTCCATTTTCTCTTTACCTACTCTTTAGGGCAGCAGAATGGAAAAACAAGCAGGACATGTTTACTTTGTGACTCAAGGCTCAGAGCAGATATCGAGACATCTTCAAAAATATTAGAATATTTTCTGGTTTTCATTCTTTAAACCCAAAGTACCTTTGCTGTATAGAAACAGTAACTTAAAAGTTCCTTTTATCACCATCTTCCAGAAGAAATCTATAAATAAACAGACATTTATGTAAAGAACACTGCTGTTGAAGAGGGGGGAAAAAAAATTAAGGATCAATAAATGATACTGCAATGTATCTTGTGCCATTCAAGATAGGAAGTCCTTCATGTAAATGTGTAAGTCTTCCTGGGTGCATGAAACTCCATCCTTTCCTGGGAGACTCAATGGAGCAATTGTATCTCAGGAATTTACATCCACCTCCCTGTAGTAAAAACACAAACAAAATAAAGCCACAAACATTTATCTTGTGTTTTAATAAAGTTCCTTTTTAGTGATCCATGACTTCGAAGATTTTGCCATCATTAAAAGGCTGTTAACAATATTTTTCTTTCGTTAGCCCTTAGCAAGGTTGTTTAAAAGACACCACCTTTAGAGCATTACATAACAGACATTCATTTGCAATCAAAGATTTCCCTTTGCTTTGCTTTAGCAGTCCCTGGATAACAACTCATTCAAGCAGCAACTCTGACAGACAGATCTTCAATAACTCCAGTATAGATAATACCAAAGAAACAAAACAGTCCTCATTTTTGAACTGCACCCCTATCCAGGATAGCATTTAAACAAATCTTAAATTAATTAATCTGGCTGCTGCTTTCAAACTAAAGGTGTGTTTACTAATGTACTAAGCTTGGCAAACACATTTATAGGTGTTAAGGAGGACTATGAATGATACAAGCATATAAACACAACAGGGCAAATTTATCTACTAACCAAAGTTGGATTTTGCTGTCACTGCCCTGCCTAGCTCCATACTCTGGGGACTGTTTAATTTGGATCAACACAAGAGTAGAAAATACTTCATATCTCAGGAAAAAGGAAAAAAAAAAAAAAATCACAAAAGGAAAACTTTCATTGTGTGGTTGATCTAAAAAAGAATCATTAAAAGTGTCCTACAGAAAAGAAGCTATTTTGAGTCAACTTGGCACTATATAAACTATTTTGAAAAACTGGTTTTCACTGTAGAGAAATGAAGCATTTCAGAAATGTTAAAAATGAAATGGCTAACATTGCCAAAGTTTGTTTAAACCCCTTCTCTCCCACCATCTGAAACCATTTTGATCAATTCAGCCTGATTGCATCCTGCAATTGAGCACATTTAGTATTTGTCAAAAAATACCAAGGACTATTACACTCAATTTGTGATGCACATCTTCTCAATATGGTCTCTAAGTATATCCATTTGGCCTCTAGCTTGAAATATTAGAAATATTTGAAATAGTAGACACTCAAAGGACAACATTTTCAAGTCAGGAAGTTGTCAGCTTACTTGAAAGTCCTCTCCTACTTTGTTGAGAGCGATGTTGATTGTAAATGTAGAGGAGTCATGATGAGGCCTGAGTGACCGTTGTCTGTCAGGGCTGTATTTTACAACAAAATTCAATAAAGCATACCCCTGAAACAAAATATACAATCAGACTTCAACGTGTGAGCTTCCAAGTCACCTATAGGATTCTTGGGGTGGTTTTTTTTTTTTAAAGCTCAGTAAAAATGGATTCTTGGGGTGGTTTTTTTTTTTTTAAAGCTTAGTTAAAAAAAATCAACAACCACCCAAATTTATAATTACTGCTACATCATGCATAAACTCCCCAATTGAACCAAAGAGTGTATAGTCAATAAAATACTTACATTTAATCATGCCAAGGAGTAATGGATCTGCAAAAGTTTTAAACTCATACCTTGGTATAATAGCCAGCAAACACTTTTAGTGTTACTGGTGCAATGAATTCTCTTATGAAATGAAGCCATTCATTATCCAGCCCGATTTGCTTCATGTGAATATCATCAGTTGGGACATTCTCATAACCTCCAGAAATACGGCTGTCCTAATGAAAACACCACAAACAGCCTTGAAATATCAACATGGAATGTTTCTGGCATTTCTGCAAATATTTATTTGAAATCTGTAGAATCACAAATCTGCAACAAAGCAATATTTCAGGGGGTGTACGTGAGCTTGCTGTACAGTGATTCCACAGCTGTCGTGGGAAAAAAATATGCTGAGGTATCAATGAGGAAAAATTGGAAACTTTTTAAAGGGTGAGTCAATATTTGGAAGTGTTGCTTGTCAATAAGGAATTCATGGGGTAATGGTTTTATTTATTGAGCTGTAGATGCAATTGAAGTTGTATCAGATCAAAACAGTACAGGACTCAACTTGACATGGTATTAAATGCTGAAATAATTGGAAGATAATAGTGCATTAATAGCCTTTCTGGAGGCTCCTCCCTTCAGGATAATAATGACTACAATTTATCTCATTTCCATCATATAATATCTGTGAATATGACAAACATTCATCTGATTTTAGTGGTAGTTAATAAATACCTTGAATTTTCTGAAGACACTGACACAACAGCTCATAATATTTGCAAGTGATTCCTTAGGGGGACAAGTCTGACAAGTTAGTACTTTAGAGGTAAATGAATAAAACTTGTCTGAACAGCTACCAACAGCCTTGAGTAACTGTCAGGTAAATACTACAGCAACTGTGCTGCTGTTAGTGTCAGAATTTGCTCATTCAAGGTTTGCACTGGGTTTAAGTGACATGGTTTTAGTAGTGGGAGAGGGGCTACAGGGGTGGTTAGTAGCCTCCCCTGTGTTTGACAGGGCCAAAACCAGCTAGCTCCCAGAGGAACCCACTGCTGGGCAATGCTGAGCCCATCACTGATGATGGTAGCACAGCAATTGCAGCTGGAGAGAGGAGTGAGAATTATGTGAGAGGAACTGCCCTGCAGACACCAGGGTCAGTGTAGGGTGGGGGTCAGTGCTCCAGGTGCCAGAGCAGGTTCCCCTGCAAGCCATGGTGCAGCCCATGGAGGTTGACAGTGGAGCAGAGATCCACTTGCAGCCCCTACAGGACCCCATGTCAGTGCAGGTGCATGCCCAAAGAAAGATGTGATCCCATGGGAAGCCTGTGCTGGAGCAGGATCCTGAGTCCTCTTTCCACAGGGCCACAGGTCATGCTGTAGCAAGTTTGCTGGCAGGACTTGTGACCCTACAGGGGACCCACACTGGACCAATCTGTTCCTGATATCCTGCACCCCATGAAAGGGACCCACATCTCAGCAGGGGGAGAGTGTGAAGAGTCCTCTCTCACCTCACACACAGGAAGGAGTGACAAACAATATGCAATGACCACAACCCCCATCCCTGTGCACTGCTGGGGAAAAGAAAGTAGAGAAAATGGGGAGTAAATTTAAGCCTGGGAGTAAGGGAGGAGTGGGGATGAGGTGTTTTTAAGATGTGGTTTCATTGCTCATTATATTACCAATCAAATCAGATTAGGAAGTAAACTAAATTTCCCTAAGTCTGTTTTGCTGTAATAGGAACTGGTGAATGATCTCTCCTTGTCCTTATCTGAACTCATGAGCCTTTCATTATATTTTCTCTCTCCTGTTCAGTTGAGGGGGTGAGTTACAGAGTAGCTTTGGTGAGCATCTGATACCCAGCAAGAGTTAACCCACCACAAGGTTAATTGAGGACACCTCTAAATCTACTGAACAAGCAGCTACATGGTAGACTAAACTAAGCATTTTATACCACAAAGCATGTGTTTCAGGTCATTGTCCATTGTTGGGATGTTTGTTGCAGTACACTGTGACTTACTATTGTAAAGGAACTCATGCACTAATGTTGTATTTATATAGGTCAACACTTACTTGGTGTTTTCCACCAGACCATTGTCCAAAATGTTCCATTTCTTCTACCAATTCATCACAGGCAGTGTCAGAAAATATGGGAAACCAAAACACATCTGGACATGGCTATAAAAAAATGCCCCAAAAAAACCCCAAATTTAAAAACTTGATCCACAAGCACATTCTCACAAAAGCAAAAACTGCAAGCTGCCTTGTAAGTCATGACCCATCATTAATAGGTGTGTGAGTGCAGTCACACATTCTTTGCCACATGGCTCTAAATAACAACCCTGATCTTCTACATTAAGCTTTAAACTGTTTTTCATAATAGCTCATAATATAGAAGATTTTAAACAGAAAACTGATTTATCCTAGCTTTTTCAGGAGGCAATGTTCATTAAATCACTCTCTCTAATTGTCACGGAACTGACATGCAACAAATGTGCTCTCTCCAGATCAGTTGCATGAAAACAAGCAGCCAGGCAGACAGATCACACATACACACAAAAGACCTCTGTATCCAGCAAAAAGATTTACCTTGGATTCAATGTTGTCAAACCTTAAGAATCCAGAGGGAAAGGCACACCCCATGGAAAGTGTCTAGATAAGCTTGCCTTGCCTAGATACCAGAAAACACAGCAATCTCCTGCAGAAATTTTATTAGGCCTTCTGCTAGTGGTACGAAATTTTATTAGGCCTTCTGCTAGTGGGTACCACTAGCACTGGTACAGCTTGTTCAAATAAATAAACTAAATATATATGTATTTTGGAGGAAGTAATTACTTGGACAAATAGATAATTCTGATCAGTTTAGGAATCATTTCTGACTCTTCTCATCTAGTTTTCAAATAGCAAAAATTCATTTCTGATCCAAAACATCAAATTACTGTTTTGGTCACAGACCAAAACAGCATTTCTATGAAACAGTTACTATACCCCAATTTATAATCAGTTAGTGCCACAAACTTATAGAAAACTACTCATACTCACCTGTTCTACTATATTATCAGTGAAGATCTTTGAGTAGTTTGGATTTATGTAAGTTTCCTTCCAATCCTGAAAAAAAACATGATTTCAAAACATAAGAACAAATAAATTTATAAGCAACAAAAATTAATTGATATATATTCATTTGCTCTACTGAAAGCACTGGAAAAAATGAAACAATTTCCCATAAACAAACTGTTTCTTGTTATGTCAAAAATCTCAAAACCTGCTACATCAGAGCCATATCTCCCACTCCTTACTCTGGTCATCAGTTGGCTTATTGATATGCTGTATTGCCATTTGTTTATATGAGTTGTAGAAAATACTTTTTAGTACGTAATATTTCATGCATAGTAAACAAAAGTTCTCCATGTAAAAGTCTTTAAACCCTGAGTCTTTTATAATATTTCAACTTTACTCTTTTTTAACTCCCAAATAAAGGAACTGTTTCATCAATAATTAGATGCATACCACAGGATTTTCAAATATCTGCCAGAGGTCATTGTTGTAGTGTGAGGTATTGTAATTGGCTGTAGAAAGAAGTCTTCCAAATTCATGTCTGTTGGTAATGTACATGAAAACACCCTATACCAAGCAGAGAAATTGTCATTAGCAAAACTGTCCATCTTAGCAAATACAAAGTTTTTTAAATGTCTATTTGTGACTGCATTTTCAATAAAATACATCACACACTTGTACAGATATATTATACATGCATTGTTCATTTAGCAGCTTAATTTTTACGTGGTTGACTCTAATCACCAACTACTGTTAATAATTTCTTTTTACAAGCATTTGGCTGGATTGATTTCCTAAACACATTAAACAAAAAATTTATGTTGTTGAGAACAGAAACCCATGTACAGTTACAGAAAGTTAAAAATGGAGAAGCAACTGGTTGATTTGTTTTCCAGAAAAACCTAAGCAGAACCACTGGAAGCACCTGTTCTCAAGCTGAAAATGCCCATACAAGAAAACCAACATCTAGGTGTCAGTTTCCAATTGAAAACTGAAAGAATAACCTAACAATCAAAAGGCTCATGAAAGTCAGAACAAGAAACTTATACCAGAGTATTCACTACATGATCCTTCTGGTGAATTGGCCTGAAATAAAAAGATAGTGGCAAATACAGATAGAAGAATATTCAGATTAACATACTAAACAGCTGAGCACTTTGAAGTATGTTCACATAATTATGTGCAAGATATCAAGTGTGGTAAGATACAGCTTTATTATCAAGCTATTAACAGAAGTTATTAACAGAACTCTCCTGATTAGAAATAGTAGCAGAAAATAGTGTTTTTTAAAAAAGAAATTTAGGTTCTGTGGGATTCTTTTAGTTTACTGTTTTTCAGACTAAAACTTCTTTTATTTGAAACGCTTGTGACTTTTGGATTTGCAGCAGATGAAGACATTATCATTTGGGTACTTTGGTATTTCTGTCTATGTTTTTGTCTGAAAAAAAAGTTAAACTGTTAGAAAGATAATGATTATGTAAACATGCCCAGTTCTTGGGCGCTTACCAAATCATAAAATAGCTGCAGCAAGGAAAATAAGGAGGGCCTGGGTCAAGAAAAACAGCTTAAAGTGACAGTGTGCTCACTGAGGGGGCCTAGCAGACCTGCTGTGATTTGAACTTTACTCCTTCCTAGGACTGATGAAAGAATTTTAATTAGCTATGGAAGCATGGCATCAGCACACCTTGACCTCAGAAGCACTGAGAAACCTCCCTGAGGAAACAATGAGCCTCTCTAAGATGCTTTGAACTGGTCATGAAGAACCTGCCCCTGGCAAAAACTTGGACCTTAGAAGACTGAAGAGAAAGCTAGAGCAGTATTTCATTAGAATAAGTGGACAGAGGAGAAGTATCTTCCTGTGGTAGAATAATACTGCATGTAAAAAGAACTAATTAATAAAAAAACAAAAATCAACACCTTTGGGGGTCTGAGCATATGGAATGTTTCCGAAGAAGGGGAGTCTTTTTCCCTTTGTAAAGTCTAAAATGAAGGAGAATCATCACATCAGTTTGCTGATACATAATCTTTCTCTTTTTCCGACTACTATTAGGTTTCCACAGTCACATCAGGTAAATAGCAGCCTTTGATCTAAAGCTGATATGCTTTACAGACAACATGCATCTCCAAGCAAAGCTCTTCATACACATGTCAAAGCTGTTTCCACCAGCCCCTTCTTATCTGCTGCAATACAAAAGCAGATACCAAACCATCTTCCAGCACAGACTAAGAAAGAGGAAGAGAGAATGCAATTTTCTGATGAGCCAGTCAGATTAGTTTAATGAGCACATGGGAAGCACAGGTTGCAATAATTGATGCTGAGAAGGTTTGAATACAACAGGATTGGATGGGGACGTTCTGAAGAATCAGTACAAACAAAGGAGTTCATGCCTTGTTATAAGGGAATAAAAAAATGAATACTTGCCAACTTTTCTTGTTCAATTCAGCAAAATTATTTTTCAATGCTATAGTGTCTGGAAATAGGTCTGGTTTAGGTCTTATTTGTCTCTGTGCTGAAACTAGTGTAAATATCAGTAGAAATGTGGATTTACATATTCATAACTTTACAGTACAAATAAGTTCTCTTATTACTTACAGCTTAATGCAAGTAACACATTCCTGATATAATTTTAATCTGGAATAATTAATGAGTAATTCATGCTCCCTAAGAAGATTTCTACCATTTCATAAAGCACTTAGGCTTTTCATATAACACTGCCCATCATTAGTTTAAATATGTATCTACTGATTGCAAAATATTCCAACTTAGTCTGCTAGAAGGTCCACACTTTATAAAAATGTGCATAATACAGATGGTCCAAATGCATTGATAAGTTTTAAGACATACACAGCAGAGAAGCTGAGCCTTCATTCATCTATTGAGGTTGTGCCAAGGAGGAAGGTTTTTAACCTCACTAGGAATTTGCAGGGAATTTAACTAGAAACCATCATTCAGTCAGTGCACCAGAGCACTGGCCTTGCAAAATCCTCTGTTCTCAACAATTTATTCTCAACAATTTCAAGAAATACATCCAGAGTATTATGTCACAAAAATTGGCCAGTACTTTGAATTAGAAGTAAAAATATAATATCCAAGATCAATCAAGTAGAGCAGTCAAGTGTAGCAAGACACAAAGAAATCTGTGTGTATTTGAAAGCA